GCGTTGGTGTTTGTATAGCACCGGTGATGGTTAAGGTATGAAAATATAGAAAATATGGATTTAATTGCAGATAATGATGATACCCTGTCTACAGTGTAAATATACTCTAATTACAGTTGTATTTTAAACTGTTAAAATATGGTAGTATTGCTAAGAATTTGAACGATATATATATATATATATATAAATAAAATCTTGCAAAATATGATATTAAATATAAAATAGTAAAAAATATTTTAAAAATATTTTAAAGAAAGGGGTAAGATTTTAAAACGAATAAAGTTTTAAAAAGTGACAAGAAATATAATGCTAAAATATGAATGATATTTTAAAAAAGAGAAATATAATGCTAAGATATGAATGATATGTTAAAAAAGAGAAATATATTGCTAAAATATGAATGCTATGTTAAAAAAGAGAAATATAACGCTAAAATATGAATGATATGTTAAAAAAGAGAAATATAATGCTAATATATGAAAGATATGTTAAAAAAGAGAAATATAATGCTAAAATATGAATAATATGTTAAAAAGAGAAATAAGATATGTTGAAAAGAGAAATATAATGCTAAAATATGAATGATATGTTAAAAAAGAGAAATAAAATGCTAAAATATGAATAATATGTTAGAAAAGAGTATATATACAAGGGCATAAATACTAGGGTATACAAGGGTATAAATACTAGGGTATACAAGGGTATATAAAGGAGGGTATACAAGGGTATATATACTAGGGTATACAAGGGTATATATACTAGGGTACACAAGGGTATATTTACTAGGGTATACAAGGGTATATTTACTAGGGTATACAAGGGTATATATACTAGGGAGACAAGGGTATATATACTAGGGTATACAAGGGTATATATACTAGGGTATACAAGGGTATATATACTAGGGTATACAAGGCCGGGTATATATACTAGGGCATACAAGGGTATATATACTAGGGTATACAAGGGTATATATACTAGGGTATACAAGGCCGGGTATATATACTAGGGCATACAAGGGTATATATACTAGGGTATACAAGGGTATATCTATTAGGGTATGCAAGGGTATATATACTAGGGTGTACAAGGGTATATATACTAGGGTATACAAGGGTGCCAGGGTGTCTAGGGTTAGCAGCGCCAGGTTGTCTGGTCACATCTAAATGGTGGGGGGGGGGTCGCAGGGTTGGGAGGGGGGGGTACTCAGGAATTTAAGATAGGGCCCCCTGCCCCCTCTCCCTTATCGGATTTGTTCTCCTCTTGCTACCTGCAGATTAGAACTAAGATTAAATTTAACAATTTTACGGAAAACTAGTGTTTTATTTATCATGGTATTCATTGAACTCTAGTATACTTGTATCCTGGTATCCATTGATCGCTAGTATCCTTGTATCCTTGTATCCCTGAACCTGTAGTATCCTGGTATCCTTGTATTCCTGAACCTGAAGTATCCTTGTATCCTTGTATTCCTGAACCTGTAGTATCATTGTATCCTTGTATTCCTGAACCTGTAGTATCCTTGTATCCTTGTATTCCTGAACCAGTAGTATCCTTGTATCCGTGTATCCTTGTATTCCTGAACCTGTAGTATCCTTGTATCCCTGTATCCCTGAACCTGTAGTATTCTGGTATCCTTGTATTCCTGAACCTAAAGTATCCTTGTATCCTTGTATTTCTGAACCTGTAGTATCCTTGTATTCTTGTATCCTTGTATCCCTGAATTTGTAGTATCCTGGTATCCTTCTATTCCTGAACCTGTAGTATCCTTGTATCCTTGTATCCTTGTATCCCTGAACCTGAAATATAATTGTATCCTTGTATACCTGAACCTGTATTATCCTTGTACCCTTGTATCCCTGAACCTGTAGTATCCTTGTATTCTTGTAACCTTGTATCCTTGTATCCCTGAACCTGTAGTATATTAGTATCCTTGTATCCTTGTTTCCTTGTAACCTTGTATCTTTGTATCCTTGTATCCTTGTACCCTTGCATCCTTGTATCCTTGAATCCTTTTATCTTTGTATCCTTATATCCTTGTATCCTTGTATCCTTGTATCCCTGAACTTGAAGTATCATTGTATCCTTGTATCCTTGTATTCCTGAACCTGTATTATCCTTGTATCCGTGTATTCCTGAACCTGTAGTATCCTGTATCCTTGTATCCTTGTATTCCTAAACCTGTAGTATCCTTGTATCCTTGTATTCCTGAACCTGTAGTATCCTTGTATCCTCGTATCTCTGAACTGTATTATCCTTGTATCCTTGTATCCTTGTATCTCTGAACTGTATTATCCTTGTATCCTTGTATCCTTGTATCTCTGAACTGTATTATCATTGTATCTTTCAACCTTTAAGTATCTTTAACCCTTGAAAATCAAGCATCTTGTTTTTTTTCTTTTATAGAAACGTTATAAAATTCTGAATTCAATGTTAAGTAATGTTTTGAACGGAAACCTTTGATGTTCTAGTTGTTTTCTAGCTTCTGGAAAACTTTATTCATTGAAAAATGGTCCAAAAAATATTATTGTGACGGTTGGACAACTGAGCCGGCCCACAAGGGTACAATACAGCCCCCAATCTAGCTCATTGTTGGTTCGATTGATCAACCTGTAGACTTCCATTCAATTCACTCAATAGATATTGATACCTTTCTTTCTTTCTTTTCTTCCTTTCTTTCCTTTCTTTCCCACAATATATAAATACACAATATGTACTGTACTACAATTTTACAATCTGTATAATAGCTGTGGATTTAGAAACATATATATGAACTAACAGAAGGATTTAGTTGACAATTATTTCAAGAATAAATACAATAAATATACAATAATCCGGGAACTTTTCCCGAAAAGTTCGCAACGATATTTTACGAAATTTTCAAAAATTCTATAATTTACATTACACACTAGACCTATTACAGAAAGAGGTATTTAATGCATATATAGGGCTCAGTGCAAAGTATTAAAATTATCTAAAAATATTAAATGTGTTTGTTGGATGACTATAGTAACAGGTTAAAATGCTCCGGGTCTGAGTTCTCACACAATGTCTAAAGAATTATACTCCAATCACTGTATACAATACATACAGATGTTTTTAACAATTTTCAATCCTCTAACCCTTCTCAAAATTGGATTTAATTTGCTTTCACGCAATTCATTCTCAACTGAAGGGAAGAAATACAAGTAACACACAAAATATCAATATTTTATGTTTTTTAAAGATCAAAGACTAACTATGTAGAATATATAAAAAAGAGATTTATATTTTATTAAAAATAATCTTTTTTAAGCTGTATTGGAGTAAGTCTGAACCCTATTCTTTAGTTTGAACTGAATAGCTCTGAATCTTACTCTTAATTAATCGTAATTGAGTAACACCGAACCCTACTCTATAGCTATGTGAGTATATCCATGAACCCTACTCTTTAACTGTACTGGAGTAGAACTTAACCCTACTCTTTAAATTTATGGAGTAGATCTGAACCCTACTTTCACACTGAATTGGAGTAGATCTGAACCATTCTCTGTAGCTGTATTGGAGTAGCTCTGAACCCTACTCTTTAGTTGTATTGGAGTATATCTGAACCCTACTCTTAAACTGTACTGGAGTAGATCTTAATTCAACTCTTTAAATATATGGAGTAGAACTTAACCCAACTCTTTAAATATATGGAGTAGATCTTAACCCAACTCTTTAAATATATGGAGTAGATCTTAACCCTACGCTTTAAATATATGGAGAAGAACTTAACCTTACACTTTAATTATATGGAGTAGATCCTAACCCAACTCTTTAAATATATATGATATTATATGATAGTAGATATGATTCTAACTCTTTAATTATTTGGAGTACATCTGAACCCTACTCTTTAGTTGTATTGAAGTAGCTCTGAACCATTCTCTTTATCTGCATTGGAGTAGATATAACCCCTACTCTTAAGATGTATTGGAGTAGATATAACCCCTACTCTTAAGCTGTATTGGAGTGAATCTCAACCCAACGTTTTAGCTGTATTGGAGTAGATCTCAACCCAACGTTTTATCTGTATTGGAGTAGATATATCCCCTACTCTTAAGCTGTATTGGAGTAGATCTCAACCCAACTTTTTAGCTGTATTGGAGTAGATCTTAACCCAACGTTTTAGCTGTATTGGAGTAGATCTGAACACAAGTCTTTATCTGTATTAGAGTAGATCTGATCCCTACTCTTTAACTGTATAGGAATAAACCTGAACCCAGATTTTTAGCTTTTCTCTAAGTAAACCGGTTCCTAATTTAAACCCTACCCTAAAAGCACTGAAAACAACCCTGATCTGTGGGAGTCTATCCTGGTATTTTTTTCACACGAATCCGTCCCATCTGCTTTTTTGTAATCCGAGAAATAAGTATAATAAAAATCGGGTTAAACTGCCATCGACAGTAACTATCCGTCTTTCTGACAATCAAACATTTTTAAAAATCTTCTAGACTGACATTTTTTATGTAAATCATTGAAACAAATAAAGTTTCCTTTTATTCAAATAAGAAATGAAATTAATAAACATGAACAAATTTATTTTATTGAAAAAATTCATATTAAAATTTTTTAACTAAAAACATGCCGCAAAATGTCATTTTATTAAGAAATTATGAAATGTACGCATATTTGTTGTAACATTATTGTGTTTTTATGGTTCGAAGATATATTGTGTTTTTATGGTTCGAAGATATATTGTGTTTCAACCAAGTTATTAATAGTTTATACAAAGAGTATTAGTTTTTTTCCATTAGTGCACGGTAATACAGGTATGAATGGGTATATACTCGTATTAGATGTACCCCCCCCCCCCTCCTTCTCTCTTTATCCTAAATCTCTCGGAGTATATCCCTAAATCCTTCGGTATTTATCCATCCTTCATTTTTATTTTACTCCCTCCTCTAACTGTTTTCAATGATCTAGAAACACGCAAGGTTTACCGCAAAATAAACTAGTCATGATGCTTACAATTAAACTTTTATTTTACATAATAAAATCTGACAATTTTACTAAATATTACACAAATGGGAGATCTGGAAAAATGTTGAATATTTACAGAGCCAAGGGGGGAACTAAATGTTCCTATAACTAACTGCATGAATGACTAACATGGTTTCTCAGTAAACGGATAGAATCTAAATTTGCGGTCAGAACAACATTGGCATTGGTCTGCGTAGCTGCTCTAGGCCTGGCAGAGCATAGTTCGGTTGCTGCAGACTGCTTCCCATTCCATAAGAGGGGAAGCTTTGAGATGCTCCTGGAGATCCACCGCGAGAATACAAGGAGGAGTAGAAGGAGTTAAAACTAGCGGCAGAGGAGACGGGGAGAGAGGGTGGGGAGTAGGAGTCCTTGGTAGGTTCTGGAGGGGGGGTAGGTGGGGGGGGAGAGGGAGTAGAGGAGTGTTCTCCGCCGGGGGACATCTTGAGGTGGGTTTGAGACGAATCTACAACAGAGGTTGGAGAATACCCGGGGTAGGAGTTGAACCAGTTTCCGTACTGCTGGGCGGAGGAATGGGCGGAAGATACGCCCGGGATAGAGTTGTATCCAGCGGCGGCGGCGGAGAATAGTCTAGTCTTATCTGCCGCGGCGAGGTCAAAAGGCGACTGGTTTGTAGGGGTCGACATGAAGGTTTGATGAAGAGGGTTGAAGGGATCTAAACCTCCGGTGGGGAAATATGCCAGAGGATACGGATATCCGGACCTTTGGAGGGTTTTAGGTTTACGTCTAGGTCTGTATTTATACTCAGGGTGATCCTTCATATGCTGGGCTCGGATCCTCTTAGCTTCGTCGATGAAGGGACGTTTTTGAGTCTCCGTGAGCATCTTCCACTCTGAACCCAACCTTCGGGAAATCTCGGAGTTATGCATCTTAGGGTTCTCCTGAGCAATCTTCCTTCTCTGAATCCTTGACCAAACCATAAATGCGTTCATAGGACGCTTGATGTGTTCCTTCCTGTCCTTGCCGGGGGACCCAGCGTTGTTACTGGAGGTGTCGCTGGTCGGGGAGGCCATCTGGGTCATTGCTGACATTGCTGAGAGGTTGGAGGACATGCCCGACATTGACATGTGCATGCTGGACATGCCTTGCATGCTCATGCCCATAGACATATTTGGTATACTGTTAAACATATTGTTGCCGGAGAGTACGGTCATAATACTCTGCACAGTGTTCTTTGGAGGACTTCTTAGTCGTTTTGTTTTCTCACAGGTGTGATCCTTGTTCGACGGAACCAGAAGATAAACTGAACTTTCTCTGGGTAGGAACTGAAGCTTGGAGTAGCGCAGGGTTCGGAGAGGAGCGCGGGGAAGCGGGATTGGGCGGGAAACCGGGATTCCTTCATACCTGAACCAATAACAATGGTCCGCCTTTATTGACTCCTCCCGCTATATCCGCGGCTGGAATACAATACCTAGTAAATGGGACCTTTTCTTATGGGAACAGAGGCCCACTGTCCCGAACTATGGGCCAATGGGATAAGAAGACAGGCACATAACAAGGACTGAGAAAATCTACTAAATTGTATTATTCTCGCAAGAATGGGCCTTTAGAAGAGCTTGAACAAGCTCATTTCATGAGCCACGGATGCCAAAATAGGCTTTACGTCCCCCACAATACCAAACATTGGGCGATTATTACCTCGAAGCACCAGGATGCACGTTGCGTGAATTTTTAAATCCTTTTTTCAAAAGAGAAATTTAGATTTTCGTCGGCAAACATGATTTACTAGTTTTTAGAAAGGGTCAAAGGTGCAAACTCTTTCCTGAAACTTAATAGAATATTTTTTTGTCAAATAATTTGTTCAACCTATCATGGGAATTTCTCATTCTTTTTTACAAACATTGCAACTCGTTATTATTATTACTAGCAAATTACTTGCATTTTCATTTTTTATTTCATTTGCGAAATTAGTAATTGTTTTTGCGTAAGGTATATTATTTTCGTATATGAAATAAATTAATAAGTGTAGCTGAGAGAAATAAATCGTTTAAAATTAATATTCTGACTTTATTAATTAATATATTTTCATAAATACATAAATACGAGTGAAAAGCCTAAAACAAATATTAATTGTATTCTATTTCTATTAAAATTAAATGCAAGTTTAACTTAAAGGGATTATAAGCATAATTTTAAGTCACCTTTTTAGTCAAAGTTATGTCTGATCAAGTATGTTTTATATATCAATGTTTATAATTTTGAAAACCACTTATTTTCAATATTGGGTTCTATACAAAAGTGAATGGAGCATTTCAACTGCAAAAAAACGTTTAGAATATCAAAATGAAACCCTTTTATACCTAAAAAAACGACGATGTCATCCACATCTTAATTAAATAAAAGATTTCAGGTACTGTTGTGAATAGGACGTCGCCATCGTTGAAGGTAGGGTCACTTAATATTTTGATTAAAGTTCCTTAAACTTAGTGATTAAACATTATTTAAAACTAGCTGAAGGGCCCGGCGTTGCCCGTGAAAAAAATTTGTTGAATGAATTTTTTTAGCCAATAACACCCCCCCCCCTCCGGCCACCCATGAGTGTCCACAAAAAAATCAGCCCAATCGGTCAAGCCGATAAAAATAATTTTTGGTAAAATGTTATTTTTTTATAAGATATCTTTAATATTCTTAAAACTAGAAACCCTAATCTTAATATTTAAAACTAACTTGATAAAAATATATACCTTTAATCCTTTATCGTATTAACAGAAATAGCTCTACGAAAAAAATGTTTGTCTGTCCGATCATAACTCAGGAACCTGTGGACCGATTTGCCTTTGGAGACCCATCGGAATGTACTTAGCTTGGTTTTGAGATTGTAAATTAAATGGGTCGACTTTATTAGCGAAAATTTGGTTTCCCGGTGAAATCGTTCAAGTGCGGGTAAACGGTGGGGGTAACCTTTATTAACCTTGGCCGCGCTGGGTTCTCAAGCTAGTACTGTTACAAAGAGTTTCTTACAAAGAATGGGGCTTCAGAGATTACTATAATGGCGAAAATTATTATTTTAAGTTCATTGTTTCTTGCAGCTTGCAGCTTCAAACTTGTCTCTTCTTTGCTGAATCATTTGGTTTACCATTAAAACTTTATTTGAAGGTGAAAATATCAATCTTATTAGTTTCAGGTCGTCACTCATTAAAGTCTGTACTTTATAGCGCTTCCATGCAATGGGCACACATTTTTTGAGAACTTTTCCCCCCTATTTTGACCCGATTGCATTTACTTTCATTTTTCAATGCATTTAAAACAATCCAGATGTTACATTGCATTTGCTATTTTTGAAAAATCATGCAAGATATATGAATCTAGATTTTCTAGATAATTTTTAATGTTAATTTAATACTAAAACAGCAGAAGTAGAACAGTTTAATCACGGCATCTTATTAATATTATTATAATATATAATTACACATCCATTCTTATTATAACCAGGAGTTTCGTGCACAACTCTCGAAATATTTCCTGATGTCGAGGTTTCGTGAATTCTCAGAGAAAAAATTAAATCTTTCTCTACCGAGGATATTTTTATGAAAAGAAACACAAAATAAAGCATACAGGGGGGGGGGGGTTGAAAAAAAATCCCGTTTACGCTACTAAATATATATAGTAAAGGGAAGAAATATAAATAAAGAAGAAAGAAGAGATCAGAGAAAATAATTTAAAAGAGAGAAAAAATTATGATTAAACAGGAAAAAGTCATGATGGTTGGGAAAGAGAGGGGGAGGGAAGAAAGGTAAAGGGTATGGGCGTGTTAAGAGAGAAAAAAGGGGGAGAAAAGGTGGAGATTTAGGAGGAAGAGCATTGAGGGGGAAGGAGGGATGGAAAGAGGAGAAAGAAAAAGGAGTTGTGGAGAAAAAGGATGGGGGGTAGTTTAGAGGGGTTGAAGTAGATAGGAGGGAAGGGGGAGAGGGTTTTAGTTTTGAGGGTTAAAATCCTTAAATTGTTAAACACTTCGGGGTTTTAAATTGAATAGGACAGAAAGGGGAAAGTCTGTAGTTTGAAAAAGTTGCAAAACTCTGCAGTGATTTGACGAACGATTTTGTAGTTTCTAAATGTTTTAACTCATATTTTCAGAAAATAGATCATTACAAAGGAATTGATTATCTTATCCATAGAGACTCTGATTTTTCTAATCCTCATATCTTTGCAACGTACTGTCAAAGGCCTTAGATATTTCAAACTTTGAATTCTGTTTAGAGCAAATAAACTAAGTTTGAAATATTAAATGTTTACACCATATAAAGAGATCAGAATATTTGAGTTTGCGGCAAGATCTCAATTTCACACATTCACTTGATTAAAGCAAGAAAAGGAGCTGGATATTGAATGGTTGATTGATTTCTGATGTATGTACTGTTGTTGAGTTTTGTACTGTTTGTTGGTGGTCCTGGAGATTTGAATGCGCGGTAATGTGATGAAAATCCGCAAATCTGCAGTTTAAGCCGGGGCACCAGTATAAGCCTTAAGGTATAAGCTTTAAGCCGGATCAGGGATATTGGCTTCCGATTCAGCGCATTCCGACCAGATATTCAAAATCCGGGAAACACGTACGTATAGATGTAAAGTGGAGTGAACATGAAAATGAACTTGGATACACGTATAGATGTAAAGTGGAGTGAACATGAAAATGAACTTGGATACACGTGTAGATCTAAAGTGGAGTGAACATGAATATGAACATGGTTACAGTAGTAATCTGTATTTTTTTGTTTGTCCGATCATAACTCAAAAACCACTTGACTAATTTTTCTTTTTTTCTAAGTGTGGTTTAAAAGTTCTAAGTTAGGAAGGTTGACTTTATACAGGGTAAACCACGAAACATGAAAGCTGGTAAAGAGTTTTGAATGTCTTCTTCCAAATACTGTATTAGACATTACAGTCCTTTGCAGTTTTTTTTTAATCTTTTCCTCAAATATAGTTTACTTTGAAACTAATTTAATACAATTTGACTTAATATTTTTTATTATTCTCTTTAGTATTAAACAACTTAACAAACAATGGAAGAAGACATTTTAACCTATTCACCAACTGTCATTTTTCGTGGGACACCCTTTCGGAAAAACTAAGATTCCACGCAAAGCTGGGTACCCTAGAAAGTTCATAGATAAAATGCTTGCAGCTTCTTTTTTGCGTGGTGTGCGCTCTGCATTAAAATGTATTCTTTAAACAAACAAATCCCATGGCAAGGGTTAGAAAACAGTGCTACAGCCAGTTTTTTAGTTAGATAACTTAGATAATTAACATTCAAAGTGACTAAACCTAAACCTAAACCTAAACCTAAACCTAAACCTAAACCTAAACCTAAACCTGAACCTAAACCAATCTATTGTAACATCTATCAGGGAAACACAAACATTATATTGTTGTATTGTAATACATCGTACACTGTACAATTGTTAAATAAATAATTAATTGATTAATATCTTCAATCTTGTTTATCCGCATTTTTTAGAGGTTTAACAATGCTAATAATACAAACAATACATTGGGATAGTTACGCAAACTAGTTCTTTTTTATCAAATATTTTTATATTTTTCAAACAAAAAAGGGAGAGATTTTCAACAACCTGCGTACATTTCGACCCTTTCAAACTTCTTGAATATATGAAGTAAGGGGAAAAAATGCAATGTTTCTATGATTTAATTTATAATAAAGTGAAAACCAAAAAACTTGGAAACAACTGTCGTCTTCACTGAGCGCCGAAAGGATTTGTGATTTGTAACTGATTTACAAAAATCCTGAGCTAAAGGAGTCATGACTTATTTTCTATTTTTCCAAAACATATGTGCAGGAAGAAGCTAGACTAGAAACAAATCACGCTCTGAAACTTGCAATATCATACAAATGAAATAAAAGTTTATTAGAAGGCAGAACGCTTTCCTTCAACTATCAGGATCTAAGAACACCAATTTTAAAATCGGGGTTTACATCTGGTTTGCATCTGGTCAAATTAGATTGATTGTTATATTACATTTTATGGTCAATGTATGTATATATATATTAAGCTGTCGAAAAATAAAAATCTTTTAGGAGTATATATGAAGCGATGAGAGCAAGATAGAATGTGGAGAATGGGTAGCAATTCCTTGAGTAGTACCTTTCCCCTGGATCCATTTACACATTTTCTTCCCAGCTACTATCTTCCTTCTTCCCCTTCCCTTCCTTTCCTTCCCTCCCCCGCCCTTACCACTATTATTCCTATGTTCCCTCCTCTTCCAAAAGTCCTACTCTCCATTTATCCC